CTCGATGGGGCCTGGCCAGGCCCTGCCCCGGCGTAACAGCCCAGCAGCTGCCCCGGCGGCGCCAGTGGGGGGGGCTGAGCCGCAGGGGGGCTGCGATGAAGTGGGTCGGGCTTAGCAGCCTAAGCCGGGTTAAAGCCCCATGGGCGGCCTGCGGCTGTCCCCGAACAATCCTCTGGCACTACTGCCCCAGGCCGAGCCTGGGGATTACAGACGCTAATCCCCTCCCCTGCCCCCTGCTCCTGCCAATCGCGGCTCCTTTCCGCTGCCCCCTGGGAGGAGCTGGGGCTCTGGGCTGAGCCCGCGGGGCAGCAGGACCCCCCTCTGCCCCCCGATTCATGGCGGGGGATCCCTTCCCTCGGCTATCTCTGCCCCCTCCCCTGGCACAAACCACGGCCAAGGGGAGACGCGGGTGCGAATGGCAGGCGGGGCCCAGAGCTGAGCTGGGGGTCACAGCTCCTCCCCCAGGGCCCCACAGGGGACGCTGCCCATGCCCGCTCCCCAGCTCGGGGGCTTGTCTCAGGCCCCAGCCCTATAAGACAGGCTGGGCCAGGGGCAGGAGATCTCAGCGTGCCCAGAGCAGCTGCTGCGTGGGCCCCGATCCATGGGGGGAAGGGGGCTAGCCCACGACTCAAGTTTTGCCCGCACGGCCTCACCCCGTGGGTCCCCACCCTCAGCCACAGGGGGAAGAAGCTGCCCTGTTTAACAGGGGAAACTGAGGCATGGGGTGGGCATAGCCCCACCGAGGGTGTGGAACTGGGGGGGAGCTGGTTTGGGTGACACCCAGGGCCCCCCCATGGATTTATGTTCCAGGGCAATGGAGCCAGACTCGCTCCCTGTGGGAGGTTGGGGGTGTGAAGGGGACATTGCATCCCCCCATCTCCCCACCAAGTGCCAGGCCTGGACACCCCTCTTCCCTGCACCCCCCAAAGCTGCTTGGCCTAGCCCCTCCCTTCTGCCCCCCGCCCCCTGCTTGGCCTGGTTCATGGAGCTGCGCCGTGAGCCCCGATCCCTGCTGGGCGCCCAGCCAGGCCGGCTCGTTAATAATAATCTACGGAGAAACCCGCTTCATGGGACTGGGGGGGGGACATAGCTCGCCGGTGGCCGCGGGCCTCAAGCCAGCCCTTAATCAAGCTGTGACGGGGGACCTGCCACCTGGACTTTTCCATCAACCCCTGCTTAGCCGGCAGGGCTGGGCCCAGGGCCAGAGCCGGGCAGCCCCCGCCTGGCCTAGGCGCTTCCATTTACTCAGGGTAATTTCCACGTGCTAATTAACCCACCCAGCTCCGCGGGGGCGGAGGGAGCACACGACGATGCAGCCACCTCTGGGGTGGGCCACAGCAGCTGCTTTGAATTGCTGCACCCAGCCCTGGCTAACTGAAGCTGGCAACGCTTCCTAGCAGCGGAGGAGAGGCAGCAAATCGTCGGCTGAATTGAAACTCGGGGGAGAGGGCACCTCCCAAAAGCCCCCCCCCAAACATTACTGGCCACAAGGAGCCCGCACACAGGGGTTTATCTGAATTCTGGCACCGCCCTTAGGCATGGGGGGAGGGGTCAGAGGCGAGAGCGTCCCCCCCCCCTCACAGCTCCATGTTGGGGTCACAGCCACCCCAGCACTGTAGCCTGCAGCTCCCTGCGCATCACCCAGCCGTGTACGGTGCCCTCTGCCCAGCTCTCGGCCATGACCAGCAGAGCAGCCCCCCCCCTTTAGGGGGGGCTAGGGAGGCAGCGTGGCCTAGTGCTGAGAGTGGAGCCCGGAGACCTGGGCTCTATTCCCGTGCTGGGGTGGGGCTAGCAGCTGGCTGGGGGAGGCAACCTCAGGGGACCTGGGTTCCAGTAGCCCTGGGGCCTAGTATGGGGCGGGGGTGGAGGGGCTGGGACTCAGGACTCCTGGGTCCCCAGCCCAGCGCTGCGGCTGGGGCCCGGTGCCTTTTGAGCAGAGGAAAGGGCCTTGCCAGGTGCCCACGGGGCCCAGCCCTCAACTCCACCATCCCCTGCGTTCATGCACCTCCAAGCCCCCCGTGCTTGGGGGCGGGGGGGATTTCCTCTGACGGGGGGGGGGCACCGTGCCGGGCCCTGGCCTGGCTCCCCCTTGAGCTCGCCTCTAAGAAAAGCCCTGGAGCTGGAGGGGGGCGGGGGGGGAGCTGTCACTTCTGACAATGAATGATGCTCCCATTTGTGGCCCCCCCCGTT